CGCCAAGACCAACTCAAACTCTCTTTATTCATTTTCAAAACTCTATCCAATTACAAAGCAGTAAAAAGACTCTAGGACGTAACCTTCAATCATAAAGCCAATCACACTAAGTACTGCATACGTCATATCTTTTGATTAATCGTTCACTACATTAATAACTACGGATGTCAGAATAGCGACGGTATCTTGTAATTAGTTTCAAACCACTGAGCCAAGTTCCGTCCAAAACTTCAAATAGACCTAAACGATGACAGACATAACACAGCAATTCAGCTAATAATCAGCTAATTAAGTCGGTCAACAGATACGCAAAAACAAATTCATGACACATCCCTTCACCCAAACTGAGATATGCCTCTCGGCATTGCAAGTTCACAAATCAAAGATACCGTCTGCCACGCATCGTCATAGGGTTAAATACAATACTAATAAAAGGAATAAATCAAAAAGAGTAAAACACACTAATTAAGTACAATGATTATAATGTCTAAATACAATGGTTATAAAGTCTCAAATATCAACGGTTATAAATCAAAAAACAAGGGAAAGGCTACCAATCGACTCACTTTTCTCAAACGGGTCGCCGAGGGAAACCCTTCGCTGCACTGTCTCTCGTTACTAAGGTTACAAACTCTATATCAAAAGGTCAAAAAAAACTAAGGCGTGGCGGTGTAACCAAGCGATCAGCCAATCGCTGCAGTCGACAGCATGATCACGTGATTACCAGGGATGCGTCTCTCGGTTAAAGCATTGCAAAGCGGTAACTAATAAACAATGAATAAAAAGCTATTGACATTGCTCAGAATACATACATGTACAGATGTTGAAAAGCAGGATATTAAACTACAAAAACTCGATAGTGCAGGCTCAATTGGTAAAAACACATGCAAACAATATGCTCATTATTTGTGATGTTTGTAAATAAATGTCTAAAAAAAACCTTCATACATGAGAAAATGTTGATAACATTTTAAATAATGTTTTTTTTTATGAATTGAGGTTACTGGATGCTGCATTTAAATACCCCTATCTAAATTATATAAACAAAATTATATAAACGGCAATGAATTTGATTTATTAATAATTTTTGAATTAATGTGAGCATACCATACAAGTTTAATGTATCCCCTGCTTGTATATCTAGAGGCTTACAACAGGCGATGGGGGGGGGGGGGCAACAGAGGATTTATTAAAATATGTATTTTGAAACACCTCTGTCACTTACTAAAAGCATATTATTAACACAATGTTCAGGTTATTTATACCAAATCGGGAAAATATTACCGATATTTATACCTATCTTGACCAGAAATAAGACCGATACTTATACCTAAAATAAAAAAAAAACGAGACTCATTTCAGGTATGTTACCACTTCCTCACTAATCACTTGATTAATATAATTACTTGGCTAATCGAATGGAAACTTGGTTTGATTCCTGGATATTGCCAGTAAAAATATACCTTGAACAAATATCATGTGTTCTTGACTTGCCTGAATAGTTATTACCCCCACATAATGGCCGCACAATACATTAGTAGGATGTCACAAGTTTAATAAGAATTATATATGCACAACTCCCGGCTGTTCCTCATTTTTGTTATCAGTAAAATTAGACATGGGCAAAATTTCTTTGACAACTTGTCTGTATTTCAAATTTGTATTCTACGCTTCTAAACAAAGAGAAAATATACTTAACCAGTTGTGGCTGATGATTATTTGAATGATTCTCTATAGGCCTGAGGACATCGTACTGAATAAATTCGTATCATATCATATATGCACAACATGACGTAATGTAGAACAATGATGACCTTTAACAGGAATATTGTGATGTTTACAAGACCATATCTGTGAGTGCTATTTTACACTAAACGTCACAACTGTGGATATTATGAACAACAGTCAAGTGATAAATAATAAGATTTGATTGAAAACAAGAATAAACAATTACGGACAATAGTGTATCTCTTATTTCCAGTCATAATCACCAATATGAGATATATATTTGGTTTCACCTTGACTGTTGTACAAGGTTTCTGAAATTAAAAAAAAAACATGCCAAGGTCTCCTCCCCATATACAAGATATAAGTACATTCTTCATAGTGACTTATTGAGATTGTAATAAAAAAAAATTATGTACACATTTATAAATAAATAAGTTATTAATATTTATACTAATACCTTATTTTTTCATCTTTCATTATAGTATTCTACTGACACGCAGTTCACTACTTTTGCCTACCGCCCTTGCTCAAATCTTTCAAAAATGTGAAATAAAAGACAACGAATAACTGTAATTTAACAGCCATTTACATTGTTGCTGAGTCGGCGCGGAAATTGCTTACATATCACGGAAGTTGCTAAGTCGGCGCGGAAATTGCTTACATATCGCGGAAGTTGCTAAGTCGGCGCGGAAATTGCTAAGTCGGCGAGAAACTTGCTTACATATCGCGGAAGTTGCTGAGTCGGCGCGGAAATTGCTAAGTCGGCGAGAAACTTGCTTACATATCGCGGAAGTTGCTGAGTCGGCGCGAAAATTGCTTACATATCACGGAAGTTGCTGAGTCGGCGCGGAAATTGCTTACATATCGCGGAAGTTGCTAAGTCGGCGCGAAACTTGCTTACATATCGCGGAAGTTGCTAAGTCGGCGCGGAAATTGCTAAGTCGGCGAGAAACTTGCTTACATATCGCGGAAGTTGCTAAGTCGGCGCGGAAATTGCTAAGTCGGCGAGAAACTTGCTTACATATCGCGGAAAGTTGCTGAGTCGGCGCGGAAGTTGGTTACATATCGACGATTGTCGCCATGGGTCACCGTATCAATGACATTTTCTACCATCAGTCCCAGGCAACATTGGCCGCAGGATGGCGCAGGATGGCGCAGAATGATCCTTGTTACGCAGGATGCGTCAATGAGTTTCAACTACATGTAGTTCGAAAATATAACGTCCTTGAACGCGATAAAATCACGCATAGAATTACTACGCAATTTTTGGGCAAGTTTGTCCTTACAATAGTTCTAATTTTCATTTATCATTATTTAGTAAACAGGCCCCTGAAACGATTTAATATATATTAATTAAAATGCGTGCCAATCGACGATTGACTTCGAAACGTTCGAACAAACCCTTGGCACACCTTGTGCGATATGCGTCAGATCGGTGTTAGAACGCCGACCTGCGGCGTCAATGACCGGTAACTACACTCTCCCTTGCAGAATCTTCTTGGCCTAGGGAGCTACAGAAAACCGCAACTAGACTCTGCCACAGGCGACATGTTATACAAAAATTGTTGGTATTCCGCTTTTTTTTTAATTCCTTTGTTTCATATATCCTAAGTTTCTGTTGACAAAAATGTGTGTTATTTAAAATAAATATATCAAATATTTTTACTTTCAGTGCTACAATCTTTTCAAAATGTTAAAATAATGAAAAAGAAGATTCTGCGATAGGATACGTAGATGTGAATCGTCGGTTCAAATAGTCGGTGTGTTCGCATCGTTGCCTCAGGGTGACGCGGGCGCCTCGCGCCTGCCCATTTTTCGTTCGACTGATATATGACGTCACAACTGGGCGATGTTGGGAAAAAGATAGCAAACTACGAAATCGATAGGTAAAAAGATCTCAAACATAAAATGCTAGTGGGCGTGATTTCAAAATGAATGTTGTACATTTTGTACGAGTTTCGCTCGCATAGCAGCAGACCAATACATCTACTTCCTACCACGTCGTTTGTGGCACCCCCAGCCTGAGGGAGCGACGCGAACGCACTCATGGCAAAGCAAAAAGTAGGTCCGGTCATTAATATTTAAATTAGCTTGTGGCCAATCTCCTTCCCAGAGGCCTTTTCGCTTTACGCAATAGTGCCTCTGCCACAGGCAGCCTTCAATTCTGTGGTCAATCACCTCACTACGCACGGCCATTTTCCTGTAGTAGTTACATCTGAAAACTTATTACAAAAAGTGTCAAAAAAAAACGTATGTGACATCCGAACTATTTATTAATGTCAGACGTCAGTAGAAACGTAAATACGAACCATTTTATCACGGACTATGTTTTGCAAGGTAATGTAGTGAAATAAAACTAAAACTAAAACTAGGGAAAACAGCGTTCTGTTTATGTACATAAGATGGGGAAAGAAACATTAAACACTAATTTTACTCAAAAGGATTTCCTAACAACCTCGTTCGTCTTGTTGTCTGGTGAATATTTCAATACTATTTCTAGCTTGAACGGATTCGATTCTCCGCGTCTAACAGTTATAGAATACACAGGTTCTAATAAGTTTCTAAACCTAGTAATTTATTGTATAATCTAATGTCTTGATAACTTTGAAGGGACTACACTTTCCAAGCGTAAAATATGTATGTTTTAATTTAATTTACCAAACAGTTCTTTTAGATTTAGGACGTAAAACGTTTTATTAAAGTGATTGCAGGAAGACGGTGGCTTAAGCGTAACTGTATTAACCGACGGGCCGGGGTCTTGTAGTTCGAACACATTCGAATATGCAAATGAGTCCTATGCAGAGCTGCTTTGTGCAGTGATGGTAAGTAACGCGCATCGAACTGCGCGGAGTTCGTAGTGGGACGTTCCCTGGCGACTACCTAGTTTAGTGATAAAAGATCCATAGTCTCGGCGACGGAGAATGCGGTAACTAGTAACGGTTACAGCATTCTGATTGGTCCGCCACTTTCTTGTTTCTTGTTGCTTGTTCTATTTCCCTTGGCAGCGCTTACGCTCGTGGCCGTCCAGGGGTTCCCTTTTACATTCGAAAGTTGAACAACTGTTTCTTTTGTTATCAATTTGAACAGAAAGAGCGAGAAATGCCAGACTCATCTAAAATATTCTATCTCGTCCATGGGAACGAGCGGGAATGGAATTCTTTCAATAAAATTCCAGAGTATACATAATAGTGGTAGATTACTACTCTCGATAGGCGGAAATAAAGAAACTATCAACGTTAACATCCGAGAGCGTGATCACTACACTGAAAGAGATGTTTGCTGAACATGGAATACCTGAGATTGCAATGTGTGATAACGAACCACAATTTAGCTCAGAGTTGTTCAGTCAGTTTGCAGCAATATATGGATTTGTCCACATAACCAGTTCACCCAGATATCCACGATCCAATGGTGAAGCTGAAAGAGCAGTAAAAACTGTCAAAGATCTGCTCAAGAAAAATGAAGATCCATACCTCGCTCTTTTCTCCTACAGAACCACACCACTACAAAATAATCTTGCGCCAAGTCAGCTACTGATGGGAAGACTAATGATGGGAAGACAAGCACGACTTCGCAATGAAGATCTTGAGAAAGTGAAAGAGAGTGAAGATATTTATCGATCTAATCAACAAATTAATTTCAACCAGCGACATCGAGCGCGTGAACTTCCCATACTTCACTCGGACCGAGATCAAGACCGACATGGTCATATAGTATAGGACATTACTTTCAGTTCAGCCCTTCTGTACTTTAAAGGAAGGTGTAGAGATAACCAATGTATGATAATACCTATAGCGCCCTCTAGTGGCCATATATCCAGATACTTTTGCTCTGTGTGCTTGTTCGTGTTACAGTGAAGTAAACCTCATGTCTGTAAGTTTAACCTGACCTAATAGTCATTTGTTTCATTAGAGAATATTACATCCATGAGAACATCGCGATGTCCTTTTAACACATGGGCGTGCTTAGGTCAAATTTTGTATAGTTTGAATACGCAAACAAGCACCCGTATATATTTCGACAATGAACCCCCCCTTTCATATGTGCAAATACAAACAAGACATTAAACCTTCCTGACAATAAACATGTAAGTGTTGTAGCATAAACCCGAATGAAAAGTCTGTAGTCACAGTGAATACTTCTAGCGAGTCACCTTTCTAAAAACGTCTTCAACTAGCCTAGGCCAATCACTAATGTGCCAGGCCAATGACATTGAACGTTGCTCTTCCATAAAGCAGCAGTTTCCCACTTCAAATAATCTTAAATACCTACGATACCTTGGAGAAGTATGCTCATTGTTTCACAAGAACGACTGTCTTCTCAATTTCTCAAGATAAAAATCCCAATGTTTTTTGTTTACTAGAAGGTAATGTCTTTTGGCAGCATTTCTTGTATTAATTTTCATTGCACAAAACTGCAAATACTGTTACTGAAGCACATAATTTGCATGTTTTTTTCCCCGGCCATTCACGTAAACTGCAAATCAAGTCTTTTACTGCATCCATAGTTGTTGACACTTTTCAGCCGCAATGATGAATGTATTGTGACGTATTTTGACACCCCCCGGAACCTGACCTTGCATTCTGGCTACATTTACCTCCCTTTCATACCACTTACCAGTTCAATTCCCTTTCATTATTTCATCCAGATTCCATGACATTCAATATTTAAAACCAACCTTTATTACACAGTCACTCTAGTTTTCAATTTTTCTAAAATTATTGTATTGATCAAACAACTTGTCACTCCCATCATACAATCTCCCATAATACTTCCGCAGACACAGCGGCGATCGCCAACATAACCACAAACAACCTCGCTCTCAGGAGCTGAGGAGTGACATGATACCAAGATCCCGTTTCAATCTCGCTCTCGCATAAGCGTTCCCAACTCAGAACAATGCGAATACGCATGCCCAAGGTAACTAGGATACTGGGAGGTCCACGTGGGTCAAAATAGCTGCTCATGATATGACGGATTACGAGAACTATATTTTCTGTACATTTTCGATGTATTACATTTTTTCACTATGTTAGTGGTAAAGTGGTGACATGTTTTATTACAAACTTTGAACATTGATATTTATTATACCTCATGATTATGACAGCCAATCAGATTTGCGCATTACAAGTGGACATATTCGTACGTTTCTCCTCAATTTAACTAATTTACGCCAATAATTTGTCAGGCGAACACGATACGCAGCAATATTCATGAACTGATTGGTTTGCCAGGTTTGCATTCACTATTTGACTATCTTATTGGAAAGAAAACTTGGATTTTGTAGCGATTTCGCGTGATTTTTAGTCAAGCTTGCCGTGCGCTTCGCCAGCGCGCTCAGCTACACACTTTGAGACATTCGATCTGCGATTTACGTTCATGTCCTACCATAGCAATAGCCGAAAACATGTTGCTTGTTTTTTGAGCGGAGCGGATCGCCAACCACCTACGGCTTTCAATTTTGTAAGCAAATTTTCGTATGTTAATTTTATCCGGTTCAAATCGTTCAGCAGCATTTTTGGTATATTAGGTGTACATCACATGGAATACTACGATTGAGAGAACTTGGTGTATGTTGTTTTATAAACCTTGAAGGGCTCTCGGGAAAATCCACCTGCAGTAAAATTGCCGTGAAGGCGCAACCATCAACATCGAAGTACCGGGAAGTTTCTGCTGGCGACGTTGCGGCGTTACCCAGTTCCAAATAAAGATTACCACCGTCAAATGAGCAACATTTTAACCGGTAATCAAGATTCATTCAATCCACGACCAGCAAGCAGCATCACAAGCGAAGTTGTAGCGTGCAGCTCAGCGACGACCGCAATCGACGACAGTCATCCCGTCAGTAGAGTGCCGCAGTTCCACGGCACGTTTGCCAATGCACAATTCTAAATTCAAACTGACTTCGAAAACATCGCCCTATCATGCCAATCCTTCACCATTGTATTCAAACGTGGTGCACTGTTACATTCTTCTGAAACCCGGGATTCAACCATTATAGGGGCGTTTCAGTATCATATACACCCAGCGACACCGATGCCAGCTGACTGTGATCACATCCTACATTTCTATGATTGAAAAGCACGGACGTAGCACATTCTACTCAGCTTGAGTGTGGGCAAAAAAAATTTACTGTTTTTTTATGTCTATTTTCATTACCGAGAATTGACCCTAACGTTTTCACCAGCAACGGCTTTTAACTCCTCTGTGATTTGTTTTGGCTTAGCTGATTTTGTTCATACATGACAGGCAGGCCGTACCGTCACTAATTGGAAAAAACAATCCTGGCCTACCGCTACCATGGCAACAGCCAAAAACTGTTTTTTGAATTTCGCCCCAAGTGTGTTACCTCATACCAGTCTTGTAATAGCAGTATTCAAATGATCATGTCTTTTATTTTGGCTACGTTGCAATACGGTAAAGATATCACCGGCGGCGTCGACATTGTTACACTGTATCAACGCAACGCAACTTTGAACTTTCTATCTACTGCTGAAAGGCATACTGAATATTTGCTTCATACAGACCATCGGTAGACTATGCTGAATGAACTGTAAATGCTGCCTCTAGAAAATACTATCGCAAAACGGTTGGAAATAATAAATGTAACAGCAGAAAACGTCCTAGCAATACAATAAAGTGACTTCTAAGAACTGAATGTTTTTTGCGAACTTCATTTACGGTGCCCGTTTATTTTTCAGTTATACAAACCAAGGTTCGCCAACCAGCCTACCGGCTTGTTTCCATTGACAACCGAACTATTTTTATTTTGTTAAAAAAATTTCGTCTGCTATTTTTATCAGGTTCAAATCGTTTAGCGAAATTTTTTGCATATTAGGTGTACCTCACATGGAATACTACGATTAAGAAAACTTGATGTATGTTGACCACCTAGAAAAAGAGTTTTATAAACCTTGAAGGGCTCTCGGAATCCCCCACACAAATTAACGATTGCCATGGAGGCGCAACCATCAACATCGAAGTATCAGGAGGTTTCTACTTGCGACGTTATCCTATTCCAAATAAAGATTACCAACGCCAAATGAGCAAAATTTTAACCGGTAATCAAGATTCATTCAATTCACGGCGTCGCTGTCGACGAAAGTCATCCCGTCAGTGGAGTACCACAGTTCACGGCATGCTTTCCAGCTTCAACATAATTTTAAACTACGTGCTAAAAAAAAAAAGAACCATGGTATGACTGACTGCGAAACATTCCACCGAGATCAGACAGCGCCCTATCGCGCCAATCCTTCACCATTGCATTCAAACGAGTTACGTGGTGTGCTGTTACATTCTCCTTTAAACCCGGGATTCGACCATTTCAGTAAAAAAAAACACATCGCAATCATGCAAATTCAACATTTTCAATTGCAAACTAGTATACTAAAACAGAAATGTTTAGCGATGCAAAAGAAGTATATATATTACTTTTCAGTATACTCATCTCTGTTGATACAGTCCCTCACATATTCTACTTCCAATTATACCTGCGTAAAATGGAATAGCATCTTTCCATGTTGACATTCTGAGTAAAATCACGTGATAGGCTGTTAAAATTGGCTGTTATACACTACGGTTACGTTCTGGAAAATGTGTTTAATTAGCTCTCATATAAGCGACAATGCAGATTTCCCAGTGGGAGCGAAACTAGTTCAACTCTGCCATTAAACAATAGAGGTGTTTTTCAGCAAAAAACTAATAACCCTTGAGTGCACACAATATACTGAATTTCGGAACAAATCTTGCATTAGTTACAGCAGCAGAATACCACAGAAATATCAGACGAACACGAAAACACTATGTATTGTATCTCGGCCTGAACCCTCTCTATTGCAATATCAGAAATTACCCCCATATGTGCAACCTAACCCTGAAAACAAACTCTTAATACCACGCTGAAGCGTTTGGTAATAACTATTTTTCTCCTCACTTTCAGCATCTTCACACATATCAAAACTATTGCCGCTGTTATCAGATTGGATAAAATCAATCAAATCACTGCACCTGGGGAACAAGGAATGTCTGGACTTCACCCCGGGAGTACCCCCAGCCTCTCTCCTCCTCCATTAAGGGAAAAGCAGACGCATATCTCTATCCCTTTACCACGGTTAACATATCCTCCTTATTACAATCATGATCTTTCGCATCTACTCCTCCAAATGCACCTCCAGGTATAACCACTTAAAGGCCCAGGTATACTATAAATACGCTCCTAAACAATAGGGATCATTTCCTTGCTTGTCACGCTGTAGTAAACAGCTCCAGCCAAGCTCCGGTAAAAAACGTGTTTTCTCGGACTTACAGGTCAATTATGTCGTGCCAAAGTGGATGCATGTGACTATGAATATCACAGCAGTGACTGTGTGTAATATTTATGACAATAAATTGTGTACGAGCTGAGATTTTGGCGGATAAAAGTAAAGAACATGAACCGGGGAAAGGGATGCGCGACTAATCTTGAATAACTACTACTGTCAATCAAAGTCATGTGATGTTGGACCGCTGAAACAGGATGCATCATAGGCTACGCAAGTGATTAACACCATGCATTAGAATAGCCACACCTCCAATTCACACTTGCCCGGGGCAAGTGAATTGGGCCTTTAACGCATACTCATTTTCAGCCAATCAGGCGTGCCGTAACAGCGAGTATTTCCTTGATTTACCCAGAACTCTGTGCGAATCCCCCTTGAATCTGGCTGCTGGCAATTTTCGT